CAGGAATGACTGATTGGCCAAGCACATTGGTCACATGGCCGTCTCATTTTTAAAAAATCTTTTCTCTATATCTGTAAGCTTGGTTTTTTGTTTTTTGTCTTTTTTTAGCTTGCACATATAAGTGAGATTATGTGGTATTTGTCTTTCTCTGTCTGGCATATTTCTCTTAGTGTAATGCCCTCAAGGTCCATCCATGTTGTCACCACAAATGGCAAGGTAGTCTTTTTTTATGGCTGAATAATATTCCATTGTCTGTATGGATGTGTGTGTGTGTGTGTATGTATCTCACATTTTCTTATCCTTTCATCTGTCAACAGATACTTAGGTTGTGTCCGTATCTTGATTATTGTAAATAATGCTGCAGTGAACATGGGGGTGCATATATTTTTTTGAGTTAGGGTTTTTGTTTTCTTTAGATAAATACCCAGAAGTGGAACTGTTGGATCATATGGCGGTTCTTTTTATAATTTTTGAGGAACCTACATACTGTTTTCCATAATGGCTGCACCAATTTGCAGTCTCACCATCAGTGCTCAGTGTTCCCTTTTCTCCGCATCCTCGTCAGCACTTGCAATTTCTTCTCTTTTTGATGATAGCCATTCTGACAGATGTGAGTTGCTCTCTCATTGTGGTTTTTATTTGCATTTCCTTGATGATTAGTGATGTTGAACACATTTTCATGTACCTGTTGGCCATCTGTATATCTCCTTTGGAAAAATGCCAGTCAGACCCTCTGCCCATTTTATTTATTTTTATTATTTTATTTTTTGGCTACGTTGGGTCTTCATTGCTGTGCACGGGCTTTCTCTAGTTGTGGCAAGTGGGGGCTGCTCTGTTGCGGTGCGCAGGCCTCTCACTGCAGTGGCTTCTCTTTGTTGCGGAGCATAGGCTCTAGGTATGCGGGCTGCAGTAGTTGTGGCTCACGGGCTCTAGAGCACAGGCTCAGTAGTTGTGGTACACGGGCTTAGTTGCTCCATGGCATGTGGGATCTTCCCAGACCAGGGCTCAAACCCGTGTGCCCTGTATTGGCAGGCGGATTCTTCACCACTGTGCCACCAGGGAAGTCCCCTTCTGCCCATTTAAAAAATCAGATTATTTGTTTTATTTTTCTGTTGAGCTCTATGAGTTCTTTATATGTTGTGGATATTAATCCCTTATCAGATATACAATTTGCAAATATTTCTCCCATTCAGTAGGTTGCCTTTTCATTTTATTGATGGTTTTCTTTGCTGTCAGAAGCTTTTTAATTTAATGTAGTCCCACTTGTTTATTTTTGCTTTTGTTATCTTTGCTTTTGTGGTCAAATCCAAAAAATCATCACGAAGACTGATGTCAGGGAGCTTACTGCATATGTTTTCTTCCAGGAGTTTTATGATTTCAGATCTTGCATTCATGTCTTTGATCCATTTTGAGTTAATTTTTGCGTATTATGTAAGTTAGTGGTCCAGTTTCATTCTTTTGCCCGTAGCTGTCCAGTTTTCCCAACACCACTTACTGAAGAGACTGTCTTTTCCCTGTTTTGTATTCTTGGCTCCTTTGTTGTAAATTAATTGATCATATATGTGTGGATGTATTTCTCTGCTGTCTGTTCTGTTCCATTGATCTATGTATCTGTTTTTGTGCCAATATCATACTGTCTTAATTATTATAGCTTTGTAATATAGCTTGAAATCAGGACATGTGACGCCTCCAACTTTGTTCTTTCTCAAGCTTGATTTGGCTATTTGGGGTCTTTTCTGGTTTTATACAAATTTTAAGATTGTTTGTTCTGTTTTTGTGGGAAATGTTATTGGGATTTTGATAGAGATTGCATCGAACCTGTAGATTGTTTTGGGTAGTAGGGACATTTTAACAGTACTCTTCCAGTCTGTAAGCACAGAATATCTTTTCATTTATTTGTGTCATCTTCAATTTCTTTCATCAGTGTCTTAGTTTTCAGTGTACAGATCTTTCACCTTCTTGGTTAAATTTATTTCTAGGTAATTTATCCTTTTTGATGCAATTGTAAGTGGGATTGTTTTCTTACTTTCTCTTTGTGATAGTTCTTTATTAGTGTATAGAAATGCAGTTGATTTCAGTATATTTATTTTGTATCCTGCAACTTTACCAAATGCATTTATTAGTTCTCAGTTTTGATGGAGTCTTTAGTGTTTTTTGTATATAATATCATGTCATCTGCAAGTAGCTATTAGTTTTACTTCTTCCTATCAAATTTGGATGCCCTTTATTGATTTTATTTCTTTTCTTTGCCTAATCACTCTGGCTAGGACTTCCAATACTGTGCTGAATCAAAGTGGCAAGCATGGGCATCCTTGCCTTGCTCCTGATCTTAGAGGGAAAGCTTTCAGCTTTTCACCATTGAGTATCTTATATATGTCATATATGGCCTTTATCATGTTGAGGTACATTCCCTCTATATCCACTTTGTTGAGAGTTTTTATCGTAAATGGATATTGGATATTGAATTTTGTCAAAAGCTTTTTCTGCATCTGTTGAGGTGATTTTATTATATTTATCCTTCATTTTGTTAATGTGGTGTATCACATTGATTGATTTGTGGGTGTTGAACCATACTTGCATCCCTTGAATAAATCCCACTTGATCATGGTGTATGATCCTTTTGATGTGTTGTTGAATTCTGTTTGTTAATATTTCCTTGAGGATTTTTGAATCTATGTTCGTCAGGGATATTGGCCTGCAATTTTCATTTCTTGTGGTGTTCTTGTCTGGAGTGACTGGCCAGTCACTTGGTCATGTGCTGATCTCATTTAATGCTTGTAGCAACCCTATGAGGTAGATGGTGTTACTTCGTAGCTGAGGAGACTGAGCCTCAGTGAGATTAAGTAACTGGCGAAGGTAACATAACTATGAAGTGGTAGATCAGGACTCAAGCCAGGTGTATTTTGGTTCCAGAGCCCATGCCATAGGTACCCCTGTGGCCCTGCTTCCCCATCATGTCTGCTAAGATGTGGCTCTGTAGCCTGTGCTATAGCCACATGAATCTGGTTGTCATTCCCTGAACGTGCATTGCTCTTTTCCACTTTGTTGCCTTTTATCAAATCGTTTCCTTTGCCTGGAATTATACTACCTCTGCTCTAATTTTGTTCCTGGGATTTGTATTCAATGAATCCTAGTCTTCCTCTATAAAACCTCACCAGAGACCTGCACTTGGATTTCTTATTCTTTTGTTGGAAGGCAGCATTGCCTGGTGGAAAGGACATGGATTCCATCTTTTAATTACTTTGTGGCCAGGACATGTTTACAGCTTTTTTTGATGCTTAATGTCTTTGCCCACTATATAGGTTTGCGGAGAGGAGTAAACAAAATGACACATAAAGGATTTAGATCAATGCCAATAAGTGGCAGTTCCTTACTTGTACAGCCCTTTGGATTTGTGTTACAAGGCTGATTACAGCCCACCTGATATTATAGTTCCTTGTGCACATTTGTCTTTACTACCTGTACTTGGCTGGGAAATTCTGTGTTTTAATTATCTTTGTACCTCACCAGCATCCAAGCAGAATGTCATGGGCATAGTTGCTCACTGAATCATCTTCTGTGATTTCAAGT